TCTGGAGGATCATTTCAACAAAACCATTCTTCCTAAAGTCATGCAGGTATGGGAAACCTCAATAACATGAGAGAGAAAAGTAATGTTTTCACATCTGAGGAATGGTATTTTTGATGGTATAACTCATCATTCATCCTTCCCTCAGGTCAAGAATTTTGGACGCTCTGGTCGTACCAAATACACCCACCTTGTGGATCAAGACACCACCTCCTTCGACTCAGCATGGGGCCAAGAGAGTGCCCAGAACACAAAGTTCTTTAAACAAAAGGCAGCTGGGGTACGAGATGTATTTGAGCGACCATCTGCCAAGAAGCGGAAAACTACCTAGGGTCCAACTGTGGAACACAAAAGGAAGTGTCAGCATCTGGCCCTTGATTTGCTTTTACCATTATTTCCACGGCCCCTATATCCAGCCTCTGTTGGACCTACTGCCATACATGTGATACTGGGTAACCCAGTCTTTGAAGGTGCTTTGTGAGGTTTGGACTCATGCTGAGAAATCCACAGAAAAGCACTATCCAGGTAGGATAAGAGGCATCCCACTTAAAACCATTTCTGAGAAATCTTAGGTTTTATCACTTCTATGGCTTCCCATATTTACTTGGGACTGTTCTGAGTTTCTTTTTCCAACCTCTTAGTTTGGATTAGAAACGTGGGCTTGTAAGTGAATAACACATTACTTCTACCTTAGGAGTACTACCAGGAAATCTAAGCTCATGGAAACCTGTTTTTCATCTTTGGTTGGAGTCAGTTTTTCTAGATGACCATACTTTTTAATCCACTTGTGTATGTCAAGAAATAAAAGAATCATACACTTATGAAGATTTTTGGCATGATAATGGAAATAAAGTATACAGGCTAACGAGTATTAATCACCTATTAACTAAAATAAAAGACAGCGGGGAATTGTCAGGCAGAGGGTGTTTCACATTTTTTATCATCTCCTTTGAGCTCAGAAAGAAACTCAGATAACTAGACAGGCTTTATCTTAAGTAGCACCTACTTTGCTCCAATGGCTAAATACATATGTGTGTGGCTGTCCTTGCCCGCTGTACATAGTACAAAAGTTGACCCATGAAATGGGGCATCCATCTTATTAAATCCAAGTACCTACCAGAATCTTTCCCTTGCCCAGCTCATGTATCAGGGAGGGCACCAATGCTCTCTGAGTAGCAGCGTAGTGGCATAATATTAGATTTAATTTTTCCATTTAATATTTACTATATTAAACCATGGACCAGGAGTTCTAGGAGTCATAAAGAATGAAATTTAGCCAGGCTCTGCCAGGCTCGGTGGCTCAGCCTGTAATCCCGAGCCTTTGGGAGGCTGAGGTGAGTGAATTGCCTGAGCCTGCGGGTTCGAGACCTGCCTGGGCAACTTGGCGAGACCTCATCTCTACAATAAATCAAAAATTAGCTGGTCATGGTAGCGCGCGCCTGTAGTTCCAGCTACTTGGAAGGCTAAGGAGGAAGGATCGCCAGAGCCCAGCAGTCAAGGCTGCGGTGGCCGGGAGTGGCTACTGCACTCCAGTCTGGGCGACAGAGTGAGACTCCAACTCAAAAAAAATAATAATAATAATAATAATAATAAAGAAATTTAGCCAGGCTCAGCACCTTGGGAGGCTGAGGTGAGTGAACTGCCTGATCCCGTGGGTTCAAGTCGCCTGGGCAACTTGATGAGACCTCATCTTTACAATAAATCAAAAATTAGCCAGGCATGGTAGCATGCGCCTGTAATTCCGGCTACTCAGAAGGCTGAGGCGGAAGGATGGCCAGAGCCCAGCAGGTTGAGGCTGCAGTGGCCGGGAGC